ATATCTCTCTTTCTCTAAGAGATTATGGGTAGTTATGGGTTATGGATTCGAGAGTGATCTTGGAATGTGTAGTTATCTTCTCTCTCTAAGTGGGTTGTTATCAAAATGGAAGTTGTGTTGTAATGGGTGGTTATCCAAAGTGGGGTCACGTAGGTAGTTTGTGGGTGGTTTTTAAAACTGTTGTAAAGGCCTTTAAAAAGGCATAATTTATTGAAATGAGTCGTACCTCTTGTGAGTTTGAAGTTGTCTCTCTAAGCTTTTGCTTATTCAAAAACTTTGTTAGAGAAAGAGTGTTAGCTGTAGCAACTATACTTGAGGCAATTTAGGAGGTCTGCTATGGCATGTGAGCCATAGCATCCCCACTCTAATATTTGCCCTTCTAACTCAATTATTCTTCTTTACAATCATTTCTTGAGTTTTATCAAGCTGACAGTACTTTTACAATGTGGCAGTAGCTACACATACTTTCAAAAATTCCAACATTTATGATGTAGAGCTTCTGAAAATTCCAATAGTGGTATCATAGTCAATGGTTTGATTATTCTGGGAATATTAAAAGAAAAAAGATTTGAGAAGTCATATGGGTATTTAAAAAAAAAAAAATTGAGTCTAGATTAAAAAATATGCTAAGTGATTTGCAATGAAAAAAAGAAAAAAGGAAAAAAAGAAAAAGAAATATTTCTTAAATGTGGTTTTCTTGTTAGAGGAGGAGATGTTTTAAAAAAAGGGAGGAATACAAAATGGGAGAGTTCTTGATATCATGTTTTGCAAAAAGTTTGCAAAACTTAGGTTTAAGAAAATTTATGATAGGGGGACATGAGTAGTCCTCATGGGAAATCCATGCCTAGTGTAGGCATAGGAAAACTATTTTGTTATAAAGAAAATAGATCGTAGTCCTAATATGTTATGCCATGAGAAGGCATGAAGATGCCAGTTAAAGACAGAGAAAAATATTTTTGAAAAATGACTGTAGTTCTAGTGTTCCATACCATGAAAAGGCATGAGGGTGCCTAATGAAGGCATATAAATATGTTTTTTGAAAAAGACTGTAGTCCTAGAGTGTTATGCCATGAGATGGCATTAAAAAAAGGGGAGGAAAGTGTTTTTAATTTTTTTTAAAGGAAAACTAATTGTTGCAATTTTTTTTGCAGAAAAGACATCAAGAACATATGACAAATTCTATTCCAAAAAACAAGCAATATGAATTTTACCAAAAGCAAAAGATTGAAAAACTAATTTACAAAATTATCAAAGAAGGAATCAATTATAGTCCTATTTTTTGTTGAGAGATTAAAGTCTGAAGAGAATTTTTAGGATTCCCCATGGATACGAGAAAAGAAGCCTAACAAAGTGCATGCAATATGAATTTTACCAAAAGCAAAAGATTGAACCAATTTATAAAATTATCAAAGAAGGAACCGATTATAGTCCTATTTTTTGTTGTGAGATTAAAGTCTGAAGAGAATTTTTAGGATTCCCTACGGATACGAGAAAAGAAGCCTAACAAAGTGTAACTTATTTTACCGTGTTGCAATTGGCAAAAAGGAAAGAAATTATTGACATTGAAGATGATGACGAAGAATATGAAGATTGCAAGAGAAGAATAAATTTATGAAATGAAGAAACAAATTGAAAGTCCTGAAGTCCTAGTGTCTACACTAAAAAAAGAAAATGAAGAACTTCATAATGTCATTGAAAATCATGTACGGGAAATTTAACCAAAAAAAATTAGAATTTTGCATCAAGGAGGATTGTTGAAATGTGATGCAAAATTGTAGGAATTGGGAGGTCTGTGTATTTCTATCTTTCTCTCTCTAAGAAGTTGTGGGTAGTTATGGATTATGGATTTATGGTAGGAGTTATCTTGTAGTGGGTAGTTGTCTTCTCTCTCTAAGTGGGTAGTTATCAAAATGGAAGTTATGTATTGTAGTGGGTGATTATCAAAGTGGGGTCACGTAGGTAGTTTGTGGTTGGTTTTTAAACTTGTTTGAAAAGCCTTTAAAAATGCACGATCTATTGAAATGAGTCATTCCTCTTTTGAGTTCGAAGTTATTTTTGTGAGCTTTCGCTTATTCAAAAATTTTGTTAGAGAAAAATTGTTCGCTACAACTACACTTGAGGTAATTTAGGAGGACTGCTGTGGCCTGTGGGTCATAGCATGCTCACTCTAATATTTGTCTCTCTAACTCTATTATGATTATTTACAATCCTTTCTTGAGTTTTATTAAATTTAGAGTACTTTTACAATGTGGCAATAACTATACACTTTAAAAAATTCTAACATTTTGTGGTGTAGAGCTTCTGAAGTACTCTCAGCTTAATAAAACTCATGGAATGATTGTAAATAAACATAATAGAGTTAGAGAGATCGATATTAGAGTGAGGATGCTATGGCCATAACAGTCTTCCTAATTTGCCTCTAGTGTAGTTACTGTAGCTAACACTCTTATTCTAACAAAGTTTTTGAATAAACAAAAGCTTAGAGAGAGAACTTCAAACTCAAAAGGGGTACGACTTGTTTCAATAGATTGTTCCTTTTTAAAGGCCCTTATAGTAGTTTTAACAACCACCCACAAATTACCTACGTGACCCCACTTTGGTAACCACCCACTACAATACATAACTTCCATTTTGATAAGTGATAACTATTAACTTAGAGAGAAAGAGAGAAGAGATAACTACCCACTACAAGATAACTCCCACCATAAATCTATAACTACCCACAACCTCTTAGAGAGAGAAATACACTGACCCCCAAATTCCTCAAATTTTGCATCATATTTCAACATTGCCCTTTGATGCAAAATTTTTTTTTTGTTAAATTTTACGTACAAGATTTTCAATGATATTATGAAGTTCTTCATTTTCCTTCTTTAGTGTAGACATTAGGGCTTCAGGACTTTCAATTTGTTTTTTTATTTGATGAATTTCTTCTTTTCTTGCGATCTACATATTCTCTTTATCATATCTTCAATTTCAATAATTTCTTTCTTTTACGCCAGTTATGATATGGTAAAATAAGTTACACATTGTTCAACTTATTTTCTTGTATCCATAGGGAATCTTGAAAATTCGCATCCTCTGACTTGAATCTCACAGACAAAAATAGTACTATGATCAGGTCCTTTTTTGATAATTTTGTAAATTGTTTTTTCAATCTTTTGCTTTTAGCAAAATTCATGCAGCATGCTCTTTGGAGTAGAATTTATCATATGTTCTTGATGCCTTTTCTAAAACAACAATTACTATTCTTATTAAAAATATTTTTCTCCCCTTTTTTTTTATGCCTTCTCACGGCATAACACTCTAGGACTACGGTCCTTTTCAAAAAACATTTTTATATGCCTTCATTAGGCACCCTCATACCTTTTTATGACATGGATCACTAGGACTACAATCCTTTTCAAAAAAACATTTTTCTATGCCTTTAATTGGCATCTTCATACCTTTTCGTGGCATGACATACTAGGACTTCGTTCTTTTTTCTTTCTCAAAAATCATTTTTCTATGCCTACACTAGGCATAGATTTTCCCATGAGGACTACTTATGTCCCCCTTTCATAAATTTTTTTTTAAATCTCATTTTTGAAAACTTTTGCAGAACATGACATCAAGAACTCTCTCATTTTGGTTTCCCCCTTTTTTTAAAAATCTCTTTCTTCTTTTCCAAGAGCACTACATTTAAGAACTTTTCTTTTTCTTCCCTTTTTTTTTTTCATTGCAAATAACTTAGCAATTTTTTTAATCAAGACTCAAAATTGTTTTTAAAAAAATACTCGTATGACTTCCCAAATCTTCTTTTTTATTTTTCCCAGACTAATCAAACCATCGGCTCTGATACCACTGTTGGAATTTTTAGAAGCTCTACACCATAAATGTTGGAATTTTCTCTAAGAGGTTGTGGGTAATTATAGGTTAGGGATTTATGGTGGGAGTGATCTTGTAGTGGTAAGTTATCTTCTCTCTCTTAGTGGGTAGTTATCAATATGGAAGTTATGTGTTGTAGCGGGTGGTTTCCCAAAGTGGGGTCACATAGGTAGTTTGTTAGTGGTTTTTAAAACCCTTTTAAAGGGCTTTAAAAAGGCACAATCTATGAAATGAGTTGTACCCTTTTTGAGTTTGAACTTATCTCTCCAAGCTTTTGCTTATTCAAAAACTTTGTTAGAGAAAGAGTCTTAGCTGCAGCTAATACACTCGAGGTAATTTAGGAGGACTGCTATGGCTTGTGGGCCGTAAAATCCTCACTGTAATATTTGTCTCTTTAACTCTATTATGTTTATTTACAATCATTCCTTGAGTTTTATTAAGCTGAGAATACTTTTATAATGTGATAGTAGCTACGCACTTTAAAAAATTCCAATATTTATGGTGTAGAGCTTCTGAAATTTCCAACATTTGAGGTGAGATTTTATTTTGTTTTCATAAAGCCTAGGCCCTATAGCACCTTCATCCTTTAGTTTTTGTATGGGATTTGGTCCTTCTTAGTTTAGAATCTTTCCATGCCCCCCCTCCCCCTCCCCCTCCCCCCTCCCCCCTCCCCCCTCCCCAACTCTCTCTCTCTTTCTCTTTTTGCATACTCTAGTTTAATAACTTTCAATGGGCATTGGCTGTTTCTCACAGTTAATGGGTTTCTGATCGGTGTACTGATATTCTTAGTCTTGAGCTCTCTCTCTCCCTGGGATAATTTGGGCTTTCTTTATTTAGTTTTTGTATGTGATTTGGTCTTCTTGGATTTCAATATTTCGTATGGTCGTCTCTCTCTCTCTCTCTCTCTCTCTCTCTCTCTCTCGATGTGTATTTGTGTGTGATAGTAAAGACTTGATGGATCTTTTGGTCTCCTCTCCTGGTGATATGTTTTTCCCATCGATTTTAGTCATTTACCGATGTGTTTTTCAATAATATAGTGTTGATTGGTTTTAGTGCTGAGAACTAGATTGGTGTGCAGAGAAGTGGTGCCAATTTCAGAGATAAAAAACCAATTGGTGATTTTTGAATTGCAGAGACCTAAATAATGGAGCACAACATTGATACCATGGAATCTTCATCATCATGCTCAATTTGCCAGGAGTGTGGTAAACATCCATTCAAGTACAGGTGCCCTGGTTGTAATGTAAGGTCCTGTAGCTTGCCCTGTGTGAATTCTCACAAGAAGCGATTAGGGTGCAACGGCAAGAGGAGTCGAACACAGTTTGTGCCATTATCGAAATTCGATGACAACATCTTGCTCTCAGGTTACCCTACTCTTTCCTCTTTTCTTATTCCTCCATCCTTTTTTTCCCTTGCTCAAGCTTTAATAACTTTTTATGGACTTAAGCAATTTGTTGTAGTCTAATGGCTCTAATAAACAAGGGGCGGCAAAGGGGTGGGTGGCAATTTCTTGGCAATGGGGCCCTGTTGTGGCCCTGGTCCAGTTTGGTTCATACCATTTTCTTTATCTGATTTCTCTTGCACACTTATTGATCTCGGCTCTTTCAACTCCTTCATGTGTTCTTTGAATTTACGATTTTTTGTTGTTGAACCCATTTGCGTGTCTGTCATTTTCTGAGGTTTGCAAACTAATTTGAATGGATCTTTTATATTCCAAAATAGATCTTTTACATTCCATTGCTTATACGTTCATAAATATTTGTGAGCTTATGTGTTCATAAATATTTATCAGCTTATGTGTTTATACGTTCTTGAAATTTTTTTGGGATGATTGTCATTTTAGACTACAATTTGCTTGAGGAAACGAAAAGGATTGCAGATTCTACTCGGCGAATGAGAGATGACTTTAAGAGTTTTGGTTACAAACTGCCCCGCAATCTCTTGGCCCTTTGTAGGTCAGCCAAGAAACGTGCAACCAAGGTTCTTATTCTCTCACGAGGCATGTCTAAGAGAGAGAAAAATCGTTCTTACTACAGTTGGAGGTTTGCTTTCATATGTTTTAAGCATCAAGTTTTCATTTACTTTTTTTCTGCTTTTGGGTTGGATATTAGAAACTGTTATTCTAATGCTTCTGATAATTTTTCTTGTAATATTAGATGATTGGTTTCCCTTTAAACTGTGAAGTCTTTGATGCAGCAAGTTTGAGGGGCTTTGGATAAAGTTCCCAAATTTGTTTTGATAATTTTTTTTGCCATGTTGGGCTTCTCATTTCTCTTAATCTTTTGATAATTAGCTTCTCAGTTTTGCCTTCCTGAAAGATGTCGTAATGGTTCAGTTAGGCACACAATTCAAATATAGACCTCTTCTTCATCACCTTCAAAATTCATTTGTTTTTCTCCTTCAAATCAATGGAAAGGAAGGCTTCTTATAATGGTTTGACAACTGAGGACAAGGTGGTTCCGGACAGTAGTCTATCGATGAAAATAATTTGTGAACCATCACTCTTGATTGTTTATGTTCTTCTGTCTGCATATATAGGTACTCGATTATATCCATCTACCAATCTTTCGGAATATCTCTGCATGTTTGCTTTAAGTTTCAACTTGCAGTGCCTATGGCTTCTTTTGGGCAGCTAGAGGATCACATTCTAAAGGCTTCCTTTGACCCAATGGTTGTCATATGTAGGACTGAGCTACCTGCTAGTTGATTGTGAAGGCTGTAGCGCTAGGGAGATTTTCTACTTAGATTACCGTACTGATCATTTTAGGTCAACTATGAATTGAAAGATCCGAATGATCAACTCTACAATTAGTTGTTAGAATCAATAGGTATTCAAATCATTCATTTGAACAAATTAAAACCTTTCTGATTAGATGATCTTGATACTTCCCAAAGATCGAAATTATTGATCAATGAAAGAACAATAGCAGCATTTTGGTTGCTTGACTCATTCCATTCTAGGAATAATCGCAGAAAATCCTTTGAGAACACAGATTCCTATTTCTCAATGATATCCCACAATTGAGACGATTGGCTGTCAACCCATGGTGTAGTTTTAACCTCATCAGTTACTACCTCATTGGCTTCTCCTTTCTTAAAGAAATTCATTGTTTTGGCCACGATATATTTATGCTTTTGCACAAACAAATGAGTTAATGTGAAATCACCATTGAAGGCTAATAAGGAATGTAGTCGTGCACATGTAGCAGTCAATTCGACAAGTTTACTGCAAAAAAAATTTCCTCATTTAACATTTTTCTTCATTTGGTGGGGTGGGATTTTAGCTGGCACTTCACACTCTTGTGGTGGCATCTCAAAAAATGGGTAAGTGGAATGTCTAAATTTCTAAAGCTTTAGACACTTGTCACTTCCTTGGCATGTTGACATGTGCCACGAACCACGGATATACCTGTCCAAGTTATGTAGGATGAAAGAGTTATTGAACAGTGTTGTAAACTGCTAGTTACTGGTGTGGGGCATGTATCGCTTCCTTGTTAAACACACTTAAGTTTTTGAGGTGAATAATAAATAAGTTACAAATTAGAAGAAAAAAGTTGCAAAGGTAGTTTGGATAATAGAGGAAGATAGGAAATTGACATGGCGTTCTTTATTTGTGAAGTAATGGATAGACCAGTCCATATTAAAAAAAAAATGGATAGACCAGTCAATATGAGGGTCAAGTTGATCCCGTTTATGGGATACTTGGTTCATTCACTGCCTTCTGCTCTGCCAAATGTGTAATTGTATCCTTCATTGTCTTCTAGTTTTATGTGTTTTGATGCTGCTAATAGCAAAAATTATTCTTATATCTCTCATTTTATTTTCTTCTCAGTATTTCTATTTCACAAATGAGTTTAATGTTTCTCAGTTGTATGTGACTTGATACAAGTGATCATTCAAATTGGAAAAGAATCCATTTTATACCACTGTAAATCAATGACATTTTGTTTTATTTATTCATAAGCTCCTAATCATTTAGTAAATTATGCTGGTTTGGTTATCAATTGGAATTTTTCTACAAATCTAGATTATATGGTACATTACATGGCATGATTGCCTGTAACTTTTTGATAGTGATGTTACATTCACATAGTTATATGCTTACAATCTGTTAATTTTGTCTCATACAGCAAGCAATCCATTTACTGGACCGTTGAGTGGCGTTTCGATTCGACTGAAGTTGTTTTTACAGACCATGGGTATGTTGTAGAGTCATCATTGTGTGTGTGTGTGAGAGAGAGAGATGATTTGAACAACTGCCTTAGTGAAACAAGAATGATGGTACAGGATAGAGGAAAATAGGGAATTGCAAGGTGTCATAGAGAAACATTTAAAGCCGGGTCCTTGGAATCTACAAGTCGACGGGAAGCTTAAACCTTTCCGTAAGGAGCAGTTGGATAAACTTAAGTTCCTCGTTTTGAAGAACCCTAAGGTACACCATTGTTAGAAAAATCGGGCGATCTAACTACTAACCGCCCTGTTAGGTCAGAACCAGCCAGTTTTGATTTTGGGTGGTTTTGGTGATTGACCGGTATTTTAAAAAAAATTCAAAAACACATAAATTCTCAAAAATAAGGAAAATGGTTTGTGATGTATTTTTTAATATTCTTTACAGTAGGGTAAAGATTCAAAATTGTTTTTGTGATTAATATTCACTTTATTTCAATAATCGATTCGTTAAAATCTATTTTTTTAATTTTCAACTTCATTTGAATCTGTTTTGTTTTAATCATTTTTAGTATGCTTTTCATATTTTAGTAGATTTTTTTTTTTATCTCTTTTATTTTTTCGGCACTCTTTTGGCCTGCTCGGGACTTGCCTAGTTAGAACGGTTGAATCGGCCGGTTTACCGGTTAGGCCGGTTAAGACTTCCGGGCCCATGTTCGGTTAACCGTTCCGGTTTGATTTTGGAAACACTGATGTACACTAATTAAATATATTAATAAATATTCATGAGAGGAAAATTCTTATTCTTAAATTCTGGCCATGTTATAACTATTTCAGGGCCCAAAGCCTTTGTTTCGTGAGTTAGACATCACTTCACCGTTACGGCACCAATTGATCGGCATTATGCTCATTGAGTTTCCTGTCATCCACGTTGTTCTCCCTCAACATGCCCATGAATTTGCAATCGATGAAACCTGGGTTTCGGTTCCAAGATCTAGAAATTGTCCACCAGATGAACCTTTACATGACCTTCCCAGTCCCAAGGGTGTCTATTTTCGAGAAGAAGAAATACAAGAAGATGATGAGCTTGCACAAAAACCACAGGTTTTGGACTCCTCAAACCATGTAAGTTCTGTTGAAGATATTTTAAACATTGTTGGTGGCTCAATAAAAGAGGTTGCTGGAGAGAGAGAAGGATATCCTTCTAGTGAACAAGAGGTTGTTAGAGAGGGAGGGGATTTCTCTTTGGAGAAACAGGGACTTCGAAAAGATGTTAGTCCTGTTTTGAAAAGTGAAGAAATGGAGGATTATTTCCCATCAGATCTCGAGGCATTTGAAGTGAACAATAGCATGGATTTTGGGTTTGATCAGGTGTTCGAGGATGGTGTTTCGCGGATTTCCCCTGGAGAATTGTATGGGGATGACCATTCGTTCTTCAAAGGTGTCTACTTTGAAGATGACGACGACAGAGAGGAGGGTGAAATTGTAGAGTTTTGAAAATGAAATGGTTACTTTTTCACTGGTCTCGGAGAGGAATGACGAAATGTAGAATTTTGCAAATGGAATGGTTTCTTTGTCCATAAGGGTTTTGAGGAATTTCTGAAAATGGAATGTCAGTCTTCACTCTGTGATGTAAGGAAAAATTGATGACCTTATGTGCTGAAAGATAAGAGTAAGTGCCACTCCGTTCAATTTAGAGTTTCATGCTCTGGAGTTTTTCATGAATTTGTTTCTACAAAAAGGTTTGTGGTATTTTGTGATGTTTCCATATTGATTGAATGACTGTATCGATGAGAACCTTGATTATTTTTCAGTCCCTTTAAAGAATCAATTTTGAAGCTGTTCCCTAATTCTGACGTCATGAGAGAGAACTGCTTTGCTGGGGCTACAGACTTAAAAGGATATGGTTTCTATGAGTCCCCCGGACTCAAATGTAGAAATGGATTTTGGATCTAATTTTTAAAGAATATATAATCTCGAATAGGGAGATCATTAATATATAAATACAAAAATTAAAAAATTGAAAATGATATTTTTTCAAATAAACACATAGACTATTTGCTTTAAATTTGTTTGCAGCGACTGCCATTTATATCCGTCTTCAAGACCCAAGGGTTTATGCTTGGGGGACAAAATGTCCCCGGACGCATACGAAGGTGTGCCTTATTTTGATTGTTTAGGGCCTCAGCTTTATATAAACCACACCTGTCATTTGCTTTCCTTTATTAATATGTTCTTTGGTCCATTCCTTTATTAAATAGGTTCTTTCGATTGACATGTCTCTCTCTGAGGGAACTGTTCCTCGAAATCAAGTATCGATATGCAGATAAATATTGCATCGGGAGCTTAAAATGATCAATCTGGAGTGTTAGTCTCACAAATTTGGAGCTTTTTAGGAGCTCTTAAGAACATTCTTTTTGGGCCGAAATGGATTTGCGGGTTATTGCTTTTGGGTCCTCGATCTATCAACGAGATAGTAATTCGAGGGTCATGAAAACCACATTATTTTAGTGGGACCTTTTGTCTGAATTGCGCTTTTTTGTTGCTTCAAAATATATGCTCCAGAGTTTACTGTTTATTTGCTCCCTCAGATAAATCTAATCTAGGAATATTTTTTTAGGATACCAAATAGGCTTGATGATCAACCTCTAAACAAATAAATAAATAAATACATAAACTAGTTTATTTTATGTGCTTGAAAAATAATACCCCAAATTGATCAAAGAATGTCCAATTTTCAGAGGACAATATCAAAGTGTTGAAGAGCTCAAAATTCATTTTTTTTGTTTGAAATAATCATTTACTAATTCTTTGTTGGATCCTAAAAATTCAAATAAAAAAAACTTTAAAGTATCTCTTGGTTGGAGGTATAAAAAGTATAATATTATTAAGGAAACTACATAAATATGCCATTTATCTTTTATACAAGGAAGTCAACAATCATTCTTGTCCTTTAAATTTTAAAATAGGTGGTCGTAAGGGTGTCGTTTAATAGATAAAAAGTTCAAAAAAAAAAGAATCTCGGACTCCATGACTCATCTGAAGCCGTCTAATTTGACATCTAATAAGTGCTACGAGTTGTGACTTCCTTATAATAAAAATAAATGGTATTTTTTTTTGCAGAAAATCCCTATTATTCATGCCATACGTGTGCATGGCTTTTATAACAGTATTATCCTTTCTTAACTAAAAGAGAGCGTCATAATCCTCCGGAGATTTAGCAGGCAAATTCAAATCTAATGGACAAGTTATAAGGAGAGGGGTTTAACTCTATGGTAGGCCTCTGCGTTTAAGTGTTCTTAAGCATGTCGATTTTGAATGTCATCAAGGCCGGTAGTAGCTTTTTCTTTTACCAATTATTTTTGTTATTTTTAAAGAAAAAGTTTATATAAAGGTGAGGCTCCAAACAATCAAATTAGAGTGCACCTAAAAAAAATTTCGAAAGGTTGTTTTAATGCCCGAATAGCCTCAAATTGATCATATGGACATCAAGATGCATGAACATGAGAAAACAATGGATTTCAAGTTTTGGAAATAGTGCATGCATTATTAGACCGTCAATTTTCAAGATTTTCAAGTTGTCATAGATTTCCTCGATCTATACTATTTTTTAAGCTTGAAATTTTATAATTAGATATGAAAATATATTTTAAGGCTATAACAAAGATTTCTAATATTGAAACCACATTTCTGGACACTATTTGAATGTGCGTTTTACTTTGATGGTTACAGCCTTGGCTCTATGCAAACCACACCCTTATTTTTAATGATATCTTTAATTTTTATATCTTCAAATATGAACAATAATGCATTTTTTGGGTTTTCATTTCAATTTTTTCGATATATTTTGAGAATCTTGGGCATAATAAGATCACATGTGGCATATTTTTTGAGTAATTTAGTGGGGACGGCAACCCTTACCTATTTTTTCAAGTAGCTGCGGAGTTAGTTTTTTGAAAGTATTAGTAACGTGGTATTAACTATGGGAATCAGTTACCCAATCCTTTTAAGTTAGAGGGTCCTTTTAAGTTAGAGGGGATTTGGGCCTCGACCCGTTCGATAATGAACAACTAGGAAAAGTCGGCAACTACGTACCTAAGCCCTTTTCTTTAAAACAAAAAAAAAAGAACAAAAAAAAAGAAAAAGAAAAAAATAAAAAAAGAGGGTCAGTGAGGAATTGGGCCCGACGCTTTGGTTAACACCGCACACACACCAAACAACAAGAACAATTCACAATGTGCAGATAAAAGAAAGAAAAGCAGGTGCTCTCGAGATATATAGAGAGAGAAAAACCCTATTCAACGGGGGAAAGTAATGAACCAGAGAGCTCCTCCTCTCTCTCTCTCTATCTCTCTCTCTCTCTCTCTATCTCTCTCTCTTCCTTTTGTTTTTCTTCTTTCTATTCGTTATGCTCTCTATTTTGGAGAAAATCAGCATGTAAATAGTAAGGTCTCTTTAGAGGATGATACAGAGCTTCTAATATTGCTTAAAAATCCCATTAGATTGAGAAATTAGGTTAAGAAAACTGATCAAATAAGATAGGGATGAATTGACTTTGCTATTTTTCAGGTATTTTCATGTGGTTTTGGGGGTTTTTAGATTGGCAATTTTAAGGGTTTCTTTTGCCATTTTTACCTGTTTTCATATTTTTTTCCTTTGTTTTGCCACTACTTTCGGTTTTTTCTGGGTATTTCAGGCCTCTTTTTTTTCTTTTTTCTTTTTTTTTAAAAAAGAATTTACCAAGTTCTTTTAAGCTCCCTTATGACTTATGTGCTACATTTTAGATTTTCTAGGTTGTTTCCCACTATATCTGGTGTTTTTTTTTCATGTATTTAATGTTTACATTTTGTTTTGCGGGGTTTCTTGTGTGTTTTTAAAGTATTTTCATGCCTTTCTGTTCTTTCTTTGGTTGTTTTATTTTTATTTTTTTGGGTCAATTTTTCATGTATTTCATGCATAACTTGCTTTGTTATTTATATCCTATTTTGGAGATTTTATGTAATTTTCATGTCCTTCCTGCTGAGTTTATTGGGGTTTCTCTGTGCAGGTCCTTTTAGTTAGTTTCTCATTCTGTTTTTCTCTATTTTTAGGTTTTTAAGGTATGTTTTTGTTTAGAAGCGACCAAAAAAGGCTCTATGGAAATGTGAATTTGAGAATAGAAGGATAAGGAAATGTCAAATTTAAAGATCTTAAAAGGTTTGCACTAGTGTGATATGGTCATGGTATAAAAAAGGTGGATTCCAAATAAATTACATATAATCTAAGAAACAAATTTAACCTTCTTAGATTTACTTCCATGATCTAAGCTACATATTTTATTTAACATAAAGTGGGCGCTTGATGATTTTAAGATCTATGTCACTTCGGACAAATATCACTATGTGTGGGATGATTTTAAGACCTCTATCACTTTGAAAAAACTATCACTATATCATGCAAAAAATCTTCAATAAACAGTTAGAACTAGCTCATTTTCGGGTCTCCCCGTTCCTTGGTTCAATCAAACACAGGTTTCATGATTTTCTAGAATTCCACCCAGTTTATCAAAAACATTCTTATTGTTTCCAAAATTCCAAAAAACCCAATTTTCAAATAACTTCCCGTTCCCGGTTATCAAACAAGCCCTTAAATGGAAGCGAAGCACAAGTATAGGTCGGAAAATACATGTACATATTAAATATTTTGTGGTTATTACCAATGCAATAAAGGGGAACAACTAGTACCTCTTTTATCGTTCAAAACTCATATGTTTTGTATATGTTAAACAATATAAATACTTCTAATTTTTATTTTCCGGGAATTAAGGCTTTAAAAAACGAACGGTTGATTGGATCGCCCATCTTTGATCCATCCACAATCTGGATATAAAAATATATTCTGGGACCTAGACCGAGACCCGATCGAACCTGAACGACTCGAATAATGTTCGGATCTAATTTTGGTCCAAAGCCGGACCCAGGTTGGGTCTACGTGTTGGGTCTTTTGTGAAAAATAGAACAATGTAGGAAATTGGTACGTGCCGCATCACAACACCCTCCCTCTCTCTCCTTTCTCTTTTCTCCCGCTCCAAACCCTAAGGAGCCATCCCCCTCTCTCTCTTCTCCCTCTCCTAACTCTAACGCGGGTTTTGGCGTGATCCAAGGGGAAAAAAGAACACAAAAACTTGAAAAGGTTCAACAATGGTGGGTGGTTTTGTGGTTGCTGCTTGCGAAACCAAGACGAGCGGAGCTTTAAAGGGGCAGTAACTCATTTTGTGGTGTTTGCTTGTATGATTAGACCTCTTGGTGGATCTCTCTTTGGTTATGACTCGGTTAATTCAGGTATAAAATTGCAGGTTTTTCAACGAATGAAATGTTTTTTTTTTTTTTCCGTTCTTTGTTTTCTCTACATTTTGTGGGCTTTGTGATTTGGTTAACTTTACTTTTTTTTTTTGTTTTTATGATGGCTTAGCATGATATTTCATTCTGGTGAGGTTTGAAAGATTTTTGGGTTTTTGATTTCTGAAATTTGATGGGGTTTTGTTGAATGTCTAGGCTTGCTCTTTTTGTGAATTTATTTCGTTTCCATGAAGTTCTATTTTTAGATACTGTGTTTGTGGTTGAAATAATATATATATATATATATATATATATATATATATATATATACTATACTACTACTACTATACTACTATACTATATTAGTAGTTGTTAGTTCGTACTTATATATAGTATTATATTAGTACTT